GCGAGTGTTGAGTGATAAATGACCACATTGAGCTCTCCAGGTGGCAATGCTTTTAAAGGACACACAAGATGGAAAACAGCTGTCTCGCTGCCAAGTCCCTTGTCTGGTTAAAGAAGCAAAGGCGTGGCAATGACTAGAGGCAGGCCAGTGCCAAAGGTGAAGCGAGGCAAGGATCCTTGCTTCAGTCCTTGTGACTTTAGTTCCCTGAAAAAGTCTTTAAAGGCAAATAATTCTTCAGGGCCTATAAAAGATGAGCAGTATATAGCTTCTCAGTCACAATTCTACTCCCTCTGTCATTTTTAGTAACAAATGAAGTTCAGGGGAAAGTCACAGAAAGAAACAGATGATAAGGGGTGAGCGATAGCTCTCTCGTTTGGGCTGTGGTCTCGTTTTGGAGCCAAAGCTCAAACAATCATTCTGGGAGTTCCCCAAAGGATCAAACACAGGGTTACCATATGACACAGCAATTCCACTCATAGGCACATACCCAAGAGAAATGAAAATGCATACCCGCACAAAAATGTGTACACAAGTGTCCAGAGCAGCATTATTCATAATAGCTAAAAAGTGGAAACCACTCAAATGTTCATCAACTGATGAATGCATAAACAAAATGATACATGCATACAATGAATATTATTCAGCAATAAAGAGATACGAAGTACTGACACAGGCTACAGCATGGATGAGCCTCCAAAATTTTACGCTATGTAGAAATCAGTCACCAGGGACCACATATTATATATGACTCCATTTACATGAAATGTCTATAACAGGCAACTCTATGGAGATAGAAATTAGGTTGGCGGTTGCCTAGAGCTGAGGAGTAATGACCACTAATGGGTACAGGGTTTCTTTTGGGGGTAACGGAAATGTTCTGAAAGTAGATAGTGATAATGGTTACCCAAATCTGTGAATAGTGTACTTTGTAAGTACCTATTAAATTATATATTTTAAACTGGGAAACTGTATGATATTTGAAATACATCTCAATTACAAAAAAAAAAAAAAAAAAAAAAA